TAATAAAAGTAATTAATATAATAAGCTAATAAGTTAGTATTTAGGTATATAATATATATACTATTATTTAAGAGTAGTTCCTAAATTCCTTATTTACCTAATAAGATATCTATAATACTAAAGCTTATATAAACTAAGAGAAGCTAGGTAGGTATTTATTAACTATAGCTTTAATTAAGTTATTTAATAAGTAAAATATCTTATATATAGTAAAGTAGGTAGATAATAAGCTAGACTACCTTATTAGCCTTATCTAGACTTTTTCTTACTATCTCTAAATATAGAAGTAATTCCCTAAAGTAATTAGTTTTAATAACACTTATAACACTAATTACTTTAAACTTTTACTTTTCTAGGCTACTAGGTAGACCTACCTTAGATCTATTTATAACGCTATATTTAGCCTTATTAATAACAAAAGGCTAGAGGGCTTTTAGTTTCTTTTAGCTAGTATTTACTAACTTATAGACTAAAACTTAGTTTATTATCTTACTATTATAATTACAGACTATAATAAGTAAATAAAGGCTATACTAAATAAGTAGTTTCTAGAAGTCTAGTAATAGCTTTATATTTACTATATTAACTCTAACGTTATACTTAGGGCTAAGTAGAAGTAGCTTAAAGACTATAGTTATAGTAGTAATAGTAGTACGTTAGATAATAAGGCCTATTAGCTATAAATATAAGTAATAGCTAAGCTTAATAGAAAGGACTAGGCCTAAATTAATATACTAGTAAATAAGGCCCCCCCTTATATATATTATAAGGTGTTAATAATATAAAAGCTTATTATTTTTACTAAGACTAAGTAAGCCTTTAAGAAAGCCTAGGCTAAACTCTATAAAGAGTTTATTAATTAACGCCTTATCCTTTAGTACCTCTATATAACATACCTACCCTTAAGAGTATAGTAAGCTTACTACTTTATCTAAAAATACTAAAACTTTAGTGTTTATATTACTTTTAGTATAAAGTTAAGTAATAATAATATTAAGGGCTATCTCTTAAATAGTCTTAGTTACTTATATTAACTTATTACTATTATATAAGATATAATTAGTAACTAGGAGTTATACTTTAAGTAAGCTTATACTAAGGATAAAGTCCTTAAAAGCTAGAAGTATATAAGGACTTACCTTAAGCTTCTTAGTAAACTTTATATACTACTTTTTTTAAAGTGTCTAGTGTTAATTAAAAAGTAATACTAGCTAGTAAAGAAAGTAATACCTTTTAGTAAAAGGCTATTCTTAGCCCCTATTAAAGAATATAATTTAGATTATATAGTTTTAACTAAGCTTAGTATCTTATACTACTATAAGATTTTTACTAAGATACTTAATTTAGTAACTTTTAGTAAATAGGAGGTATACCCCTAGTAGCGTTTTTAAGAGACGTCTTCTTTTAATCTATACTACTAGATCTTTAACCTAAAGATTATAGTATTCCTCTATAGCAGGCTAAAGAATATAGTATAACCTATTTTATTATAACTAGCCTTACCTTAAGAGGGCTAGTTAACTAGCTAAACCTACACTTAGAATTATAGCTAAGGCACTAGTAGTAAGAAGTAAGGCTGCCTACCTAAAAGTAAGAATAAGTCTATATAGAAAGTAAGTTAATTAAGTTAAAGCTAAATTCTAACCTCCTCTTAGTAATAAATAAGAAGCTAGTTAAGTGTTTTTAGTAAAGGAAAGACTATAAGGACTTATATAAATAGATAGCTATTATAGTCTAGTATTTAGAGAACATAAAGTTAGTAAGAAATAGTTAGTAGTAATAATAAATCCTTATAACTATATTATAAAAAGGTAGCTAGATAGTAGGCACTTTTAATTATATAGCCCTATTTAAGATTTATAAAAGAGAGTAATAGGTAATATACCTTTATAAAACTTAAATAAGAAAAAAGGCGCTCTTTATAGCTATAGGAAACAGGCTCTATAGGAGGTAATCTTTATAGCTATAAAGAGGAGCCCCTTATAGAGCCTATTTCTTATAGCTATATAGGCTAATTAGATAATAGTGTGTTAGAATAGTAGAAGTGTTAGTAAAATTATTTTTACTACCTTTATAGGGATATACTAATTTTCTAAGCTAATTAAGAAGATAGAAAATAACGCCCCTATAAGGGCGACGCCTCTATATTAATTTATAACGCCCCCCTATTAATTCCCTTTTTATAATAATCTTAACGTCTTATATAAGCTACTAGTCTTATTTCTTAGTAATACTAGTATTTATAAGTCTTATATATAATCTATAAGTAGTACTTAGATAACTATTATATATTTACTACTAGTTATTTTATTTTTTATTTTACTAGTATAGCTATTTAGGTTACTAGGCGTACTTCTTACTTATATTAGCACTAAGTTATTAAGTTCTTTCTTATTTTTTATATTACTTAAAGAGTTATATATTAATCTTAATAATAAGTTTTATATAAGATAAAAAGTCCTTAAGTAAGTTAATAATCTTAATAAGTTTATTTTTAATATTATTTTTAAGTCTTTAGTAAAAAGTAAAAATTAGTAATTCTTAAGTAATATTTAGTTAAGTAGCTAGTTATTAGAATTTAGCTATATAGTAAGAGGCTAACTTAGTTAATTATAAGCTAGCTAGGTCTTACTTAGCTTATTACTTCTTATTTAGGTCTTAAAATAGGAACTATAAGGCCTTTATAAAGCTAGTTATACTTCTAAAGATATTTTATATCTTTTAAAAGTATATAGTAAGGTTACTATTATATTTAAGAAATTCTTCTAAGTAAGGTCTATACTAAAAGTAAGCTTTTTCTTATAAAAAAGTTTCTATATAAATAACTTATTTAGTCTTACTTTTAAAGTTAGTAATATAAAAAGTCTAATAAGTATAAACTTTAATTAGAAATCTTTTTAGCTATTTACTAGTTTTATTATAAGTTCTAAGTAAGTTAAGTTTAAGTTTATTATATTTATTAACTAAGGTAGTAATAATATTTACTATGCCCCTAAGGGTAGTTACTTCTCTATTTAGTCTTTTAGCTTTAGCTGTTTTATCTTTTAGCTAAGTAATAGTGTTATAGACTATATTCTATAGCTAGCTAACTTTAAGGGTTTTAGTATTTAGTTTTTTACTAATATTATTAATTATAGCTTATATTTAAGCTATATTACTATTACTTTACTTTATATATTATTAAATCTTATTATATCTACCTTAAGTAAAGTGTACCTTATTATTAGATTTTTTAATATCTTTTATTTTTTTATTTAGGCTTTTAGCTAAGGTAGTAATATTCTTTTTAAAGCTAGAGGAAGTTAGTATTATCTTAAGTATAAATATTATAGAATACTATTAGGTAAGTATTAAAGTTATCTTACTTAATAAAAGTAATTAAAGTATTATAGCTAGTTTTTAAATAGTAAGGTTTTTACTAATAGTAAGTAAAAGTTAGTACTTAGTTAATAGTATTTATTATTCTTATTATCTTATTAATTACTTAGTAATTAGTTACAGTTAAGATTATAAGGTAGCTTATATAGCTTCTTATTAATTAAATTACTAAGGTTAGATACTAAAAGGTATTTAGAGAATATATTATAAGTTAATTACTCAAGAGCTATAGAAGTTTATCCTTAAGTGTAGTCTAGTCTATCCTATATATAAGTCCTAACTATTCCTTAAATAGTTCTCTTAACTAATAGTTATAAGGTAAAATAAGCACTTACTTAGGTATTTACTAAGCACTTATCTTACTTATAATTAAGCGCTTATTTCTTATCTTATCTTATACTTATAGTTATATAACTTATACTATAGTTCTTTTGTTCTAAGGAGTTATTTATCTATTCCTTATTTCTTATCTATATAAATACTACTACTACTTACTATCTATCTGTTAGGTAGGGTAATATAGTCTATAACCTATTATATACTTTACTAGGCCTTTTACTTATTAATAAGTAATCTACTTACTAAGAGAAGCTTAGAGGGATATATAGGCAGCTAGATTATTCTTTTAGGCCTAGGATAAGTATTATATATAGGTAAAGGTAGTATTCCTACTTTACTACCTATAGTATTAATAATAAAGTGACTAGTATAGTATGCCTTATTTAAAAGCAGTAGCCTTAATACTATACTTATCTTATATATCTAGAAGGGTCTAATAAAGCTTATCTTTAGTATATTACTTTATAATAGGTTAAAGAAGGTATCTTAAAAAAATATTGTTATTTAGTGATATATCTAAAATGTTATAATAGTTTGAAAAAGGTGGTGATGTTGATGAAGGAGGAGAAATTGGGATTTTCAGATGTCTCGGAAGTGGGGGTGTCTTGGATGTAGGGTGGGGGAGTTATAATGCAGCCTAGGCCGACGATGCTGTAACTATAAAGATAAGACTAGCGAGTTTAAGGTCTTTATAATGTAGACCTAGATTAAAATAACGTAAACCAGAGGGTTTTCTAAAGGCTTGTTAGGATTTAGATAGTTATTAACTTATTATTGCGTTAACTACTAAATAGACCTATAATATAGTATAAATACTAGTTTTTTTAAGTCCTTTAATAGCTTAGACTACTAGGACTAATTGGGCTTTGTTGTTTAATAATATTATTGTTTCTAGTGGTTAGACGCGTGTTGTAAAGAAGAATATACTAATATGGTCACCATTAGTTAATCGGTTTGCTTGTCCGATCCGCTCATAGACACATACATATTATTAATATACGCGCGTAATTCCCTACCATTTTAACAACCCATTTTACAGTAGAGGAGCGAACTGCAGACTCTAGTGCTTAATTCATTTGATACCTTAGCTGAGCTACTAGTCCGTAGATACATAGCCTACGTTCTTCTTTTAGCAGAATTACTGCAACGGAATCATCTCCTCGTCACCCACGTGACCGTATATATAGCTCCTCTCGATCCCAAAATGATGATTTGGCTTTGGGGTGGAACTGACTATGCGCTCGCAACATCCTAGCCGAAACCTGTGAGTTACTAATACTCATTTACTCTATTAGGTCCACGTTCCTCATCGGTGCTTTCTTTCTCACATTCCCCCCATGCGCTACAAGTGCCCCAACAGCGTCCACAGATCCCATCTGAACTGCAGTGTGTAGTGGTGTCCAGCCAGCTGCGTTCTCAGCATTGGGATCGGCGCCGTGACTCAGGAGACGTAGCACGGTAACTAGCTGTTGATTTGATACGGCAACGTGCAGTGCCGTGTTGCCTTCACTGTTCCGCACATCCACATCTAGTCTTCCGTTTACGAGGAGCATGTCAACCATTGCATTGTGGCCAGCAATGGCCGCGATATGAAGCACAGTCTGGAAGGCCTGCGGATCGGCATCATTGGCGTTGTAGTCGCTATTCTCCGATGCCTGGCCAACACTGGTAATGTTGTGAGGCGGATTATGGCGTTTGGGTGTCTCGGGAGTCGTTCCGTATGCCGGCAGGGAGGTTGGCGGCTGTTGCTGGGGCGTTCGTTGTCAGCTATTATTGCGAGTGGGTTATTGTGCTTTGTTGGATCCTACTGGTATGGGGGGACTTTGGGAATCGCTGGGCTGTTGCAATTGTGCCAAATGCCCGATTTCCTGCGAAGCACCGTCAGACATGGCGTTCGCCTACCGAGCGGGCGGACCGTGGAGCTCTACTGACATGCCATCTCAGGTCGCCTGGGGCAGCGTCTTTATCCACAGAGAATGCATTGGGCCATTGCGCTGCACAATCTAAATGACCAGTAGACGGCCACATGTCAAGGCCTCTAACATGAAGATCCAATCTGTCAAAATTATTAGACCAATGACCTTAAACATAGCCGACGTACAAGTGTGGGGAGCTTCACGGTAGTGAAAGCGACATAGCCGCAGTTAGATCCTGAAGATTGCCCGAGTCGTCTGCTGGCGTGGAGTCATGATCAAAATAGAATTGTGGCAAACAATATGGCGACCTTGAGTCGCTGTTGATGCTGCTCTGTCCACGGACATCCCTGCTAGATGAATCGACTAGCTCCTCCTGCCTGTCAGAGTTCCATGGGGCTTTCTTCTGTGCCTTTGTTCCTGTATTATGAATTGTGTCAACAAGCAATACGGTCAATGTCGCCGTGTACTGATCGCTGGAAAACAACTGTACCCTCGGATGCCGTCTGCTTGTCTTTTCATTTCCTTTGTCAGATCACGGACCACTGCGACCTGGAGGATAGAGGAAGGCTGCGGCGGGCTTACTGCGGAATCTACGCTGAGCATCTCTGTTCTGGAGTCTGCGGCGCTCAGCGGCATCCATCGTGGGCAGCTGATGACACAACACGGAGATTGGATGGTCATCCAAAAAAGAAGGAAAAGAAAAAAACGACCGACTTTGGTATCACAAGCGTGTCTAAAGCGAGTTTTCTTATGATCTTACACTACTGACGCCAACTGCCCGAGATTATCGGGTCTTATGTTAACATTTATTGGCAGATAGCTGCCGGTTTATTCCTATCTTCTGGGTTTAGATATGGAGAATAGGCTGTTCACGTCAGCCCAGCCGCACTTAAGGTTGTAGTCATCGCGCTTTTAGGGGTTATTCTGCATGGTTGGCAAGCTAAGGACGTGCAAAAAGCCCTTTTGCATTCAACGGGAGGCAGTCGTGGTCAAACAGCCTAGGACAAGATTATGCGGGGCTCCACTAGTCGTAGAAAGTACATTGTAAGCCCGTTTCAATGCAGTTCGGCTTTTTGATATGTGACTAGACTTAAGCAAATTGGACTGCCAAGGCTGCATACAACATTATCCTCGAGGAACAGCCTAATATGACGAGTCTCAGTTAACAGAGAGGCAAATTGAGTGACTTAAGAAATAAACCTGGACAAAAGAAAACGGTTGAAGCATGTCCTGAAACGTAGCTCTGCTGTATAATTGATAGTAAGTACTGAATCTGAGCTTGTACCTTGGGTCACAGTTCCGCTTGTCCTTCAGCTGGCGGAAGAAACACATGGATAGCCTATTCAAACTTGGAAACATCTCTGTTGCCTTGTCACATATGTGCCTGTGGTACATAGTACTATGCTATGGTGCTGGGTAGGCTAGTGCATCAACGGGAAACAAACCTGCTACGTTCACGTCAGAAGAACGGCTTAATATGACTTGTCACACACAGGTTTTGTAACAAAAACGACGCCGTTTATTGGCAGCAATGAACATCTTATATGTGACGTAATTTCCCCTCCCGTATCTGCACCGTGCCAGGTCACTTGGGTGACAAAAGAATGTGCCGGTTTCCTACTACTGTTACTACCACCACTACCACTACTACGAGTATTGTAACAGGGAATACAGGTTTCAATATATCAAAAAAGTTGTATTCATAGATACACGTAAAGTTTTTGAAGTTAACAGTATTATATACAAGAAAAGGGGCGTTTTTGTCTATTGTAAAGGTATCTGAAAGGTAGTGCCATAGGTTCTTGAAAACCGGCACATTGTTTTGTCACCTGAGTGCGGGTGCCGGGCTCCCAGTGGACACCTGGATGGATCCTTATCAGTTCTCTAGACGAGGGATAAAAACCCTATCCGGATTCACGAGAGTTATAGTTGGCCAGGTTTGAATGTTGTTACACCCATATACCCCCACGTTTGGGTCCCTAAATAATATACAGCTGAGTATCCCTACCATATCCTCTCAGCAGATAGGATAAAGGCTATGAGGCGGGCTACCGGCAAAGGGTATAGCGGCTGCTAAGAAGGGATAGTGTGCTGGCAGAAAGCAGGGGTCGGATGTGGTACGTCAGCACCAAGTTAGGTGGCAAGGGCTAGCAAATTGACTTATGGTTAGCATTAAATTTCCTCCCTCCCATCCACCGCCTTCTATAGGAAGCTTAGCGTGGATAGCGGCAGCTAAACCGCTTGCTGTTAGCCTGCCTCCTAGCTTTTATCCTATCTGCTGGGAGGATACGGTACATGTATTGTCAACTTCTTCACTTGGACGCCAGACGCTAACACACCACACCAGGGCGCAGCTGCTCATATCCCTTTAACTACAAAGTGACCCTATTTCTGCCAAGGTGGATCCCCCTCTACTTTTATTAGTTGGTCGCGACATCTGCAGTGGGGTGTTTACAAACCACCCAGTTGCTAATTTATAAATAGTATTCAAACCCACAGGGTTTACAATGCGCAGGGTAGGTGAACTTATCCCATTGGGTGCCAAGTGACCTCACATAACCTCAGACCAATAAGAGTACAGCAATCCAGGCTGACTGTCCAATAGCTGTCGGTAAGTATTTACATAGACCCATTTTTAGGTTATGTGAGTTCACTTGGCGCTCAATGGGATACCACTGGGGCACAACAGCGACAGATAACCTAGGTTTATAACTGTCAAATGTGCCAGGGTATATAGGTAGGCAATAAATCCAGCAAAAGTAACAAAACGGGCGCTTGGGTACTCTTTTGCGGATTTGACAATTAACAGTCTGATTAGCGTTAGTGGTCTTGAGCTCCACTCCGCCGATCCTAGACCCAAAGGTCCTGCGTTCGATCCTTAGTATAGTCAATAAGGCATGCAATGAATCCGCTTATGAGAACTGCCCCCTTATAACCTATGGTGACTGCTTTGATTTGAAAGAACGACGGTTGATAGCCCCCTGGCATAAAAACAGCTCTAAGCTTTAAACGCACTTAGGGCTGGGGGGTGTGTTAAATGTGCTAGGGTATATAGGTAGGCAATAAATCCAGCAAAAGTAACAAAACGGGCGCTTGGGTACTCTTTTGCGGATTTGACAATAACAATCGCAGAGTGGCGTTTTGGGTTAGAAAAGACTTTAGAAAGCGGCATGTTATCTGCGGGTGGTGCCGCCTGGGGTAAAGCATACTGTTAAGTGTAGCGAAAGTACACGTGAATTCACTAGCAAATATACGGTTGCCCTATGGCAAATTGCTAGGGAATAGGCAGTAAAATTACTCTACTTTAATAGTAATTTTACTAATAATATTACTAGGATTAGCCTAGGTTTTCCTAACTAAGAAATAAGGGGATTACCTTTATTAAATAGTAGGGATTATAATAGTTAATTAATTAATTCTGTTGTATGTTATGTATCTATAGTAAATTACTATAGAAATAGGAAAAACCCCCTATTTCTTAGTTAGGAAATCCCTAGCTAATCCTAGCGATATTATTAGTGGACTTGCCCTAAAAGTGGGGCTAATTCACCGCCTATTCCCTAACGATTTGCCGTAGGGTAACTATACACTTACTAGTTAATTTACATGTAATTCTGCTATATTTAACACACCCCCTTAGCGCTAGTAAGGCAGTTAATTACTATAGAGCCTATACTAAATATCCTCTATATATAGCCTATTTATTTATTAATTATCCTTTAATATCTTATACGTTTTTTTTCTTTATCTAGTAGTAAAGCTTTACTTTATTATTATCTAATTCTTACTATTAATTTACTTTAAGGCATATATATTAGTTACTTATATTTATTTAGGCTATAAATATAGTAAATTATAGCGCACTAAGCGCCTTTATTAATCTATTAGCTATTAATTTAGTAAACTGCTTATATTTAATAGTAATCTAATTTACTACTACTTCTTATTATAGCTAGTAGTTATAAATATCTATATACTATAGCCTTATTTATAGTTAGATAAGCTCCTTAGTAATAAGCCTAATAGTCTAGGTATTATTATAGCTAATATAAATAGTTAGTAGCTATTTAGTAGCTACTTACTTATTAAGTAATAATTTAGTTCTTATTTATATTAATAGTTAAATACCTAGCGTAGTAATTAATCTACTAGTAAAAAGCGCCTCTTTTATAGTAAATAAGAAGGCTAGTAATTTAGCCTTAGTAGTTAACGTTATTACTATATCTTACTTATTAGCTTATTAGGAGATAAGCCCTTTAAATAGCTTTAGTATATATACTTATAAGCTATAATAGTCTAGTAAGTTATTAGTAAATAAGGCGTCTAAAGTAACCTCTAACGTATTATCTTTACTACCTAGCGTTACTTTATATTTAAAGTAAAGGTGCTATATTTAATTAAAATACCTAAGTACTTAATTTACTACCTTTTAGTAATCTAGATTTAGATTATAGTTAAAGTAAGTAAGCTAGCTAGTTATAAAGGTAATATCTAGCTAAGTTATTACTACTATATAAAGAATTATTTTTAGTTTTTTTTAATATTAGTTAACCTCTTATAATAAGGCTATATATTTACTAAGTAGTAGCTTAGCCCTTACTATAAGTAATAATTTATTATATTTCTTATTTATTAGTAGTAGTTTAGTTACTTTATTATAATATACTACTTATAAGAGCTAGAGATAATAGTTACTTTAGTTATAAATTACCTTAAGGCTAAAGAACTACTATAATAAGCCTCTACCTTTAAGGTAGTATTATTACTAAAGAGCTACTATTTTATTACTTACTTACGCTTTATCTATATAGTAATAGGCTAATATATAGTTATTAATATAAAAAAAGAATATAATATAATCCTTCTTTTAATAGTAATTCTTACTAAGCACTTAGTAAAAGCCCTATATAGTAAGTCCTTCTTTAAAGTGCTTCTACTATAGTAGTAGTAATTACTAAAG